CGACGACAGCCCAGACGACAGAGTAACGTTCCTGTTGGTAGAGGTGACATAAAAGATTATGTTCAACAGTGTGAACAGCACCGTGTAGCCAATGGCAGGAATGGAGGTCGTTATGTAAATAAAGGAAATCAGAACCAACATTTTAATTAATCTGTAGTCTCGAAAAGCTGATCCATCTTTTGCCGTCCCAGCAGACGTCTTGCTACGCCATTTTGATCTCATCTGCAATCAATGTATCATGATAATTGTAAAAATGATATCCAGGATAAAAAGGATAACTCTAGCAGAGACGTTCATCAGGTTGCTAAGATCTAGATTACACTCGGCGCTATGGGTTATGACGACGTTGTAGACTGTTGTGTTTCTAATGGTATCAAAGTACGGCAGAAACCTGTGACAGACCGCGCCTTGAATCATAAAACACAACATAACCAAATAAATGCTTAGTAAAACTATAACAGTTTTTGTCCTTGTAAAGAAGAATTTCACTTTAAGTGGAAACAATATACAGAGGCATCTTTCAAAGTTGATGTACACTCGAATCCAAAATGAACATCGTAGGAACATGATATGTGGTACTCCTGTGAACAATATTTGAAATAGGGATAAATTCAATAAATTTGAACTAAACACACCTTTAATACTAGCAGACAGTATGTAGATATTCATCTTATAGTATAATCTATATCTATATAAAAGCAACATTGGGGAAGTTTATTTGGTTTGTTTATTTGTTACTCACACCTATTATATCGGGTACTTGGAGGGTAATTGCAGGGAAATTGTTCTTGACAAAAATGGTGGTCGCTCTATTTTTAACGTGAAAATTAGAGTTATCTTAATAAACGAGGTTTAAGTGACTGAAAACTGACCTAGGCTGGCCGCGGCCTTATGTAAACTATACATTTTTAGAAGTGCTTGAATTAGATCGACCAATGGTAGATGCGACAAATTAAAAAAAAAATTGTTTAGGAGATAGATTTGGTGTTCATTGCATCCAGAAAAATACAAGATTTTCAGAAAGGTTATATTAGGGGTAAAAATTAAAACGTCTACTTTTCAATTTTAGAATTAAAGAGTCGCAAAACAGTCAGGAATTTAATTTGTTGATTTCCCCGTTCTTTGATTTCACAAAAAAGCAAATGAAGAAAACATTTGGATAGAAAACAAAATTCCTTTAAAATTTATACTAAACGGTTTTCAAATAAAAGTATGATGGGAATTGTTTTATAAATAAAAAGGTAGTAGGCTTTTTAGTGTTAAAACTGCGAAGAGAGAAAAAAAGTAAAGAAAAGTAGGTCACGAAAATACCATATCTGTGGAATTTGTAAAGCAAGTTGTAAGCTTTGGATTTTTCCGGGATGATGGAAAATATTATTATCAAATACATGATACACATATGTTGCTAAATACAAATGGATCACGGATTTTTATGTTTTCGTAGAGAGCTTGTAATACTGGGACAAACGGATTAATTTTCTAGATCGAAACGCCGGAGCAAAAATTCGGACACTTCTAACTGACAGATACGGTTCGTAATTGGTACGTGGGTCAAGACATGAAGACAATGCATCGTAACATTCAATTTGACTTAATTGGTCTCCCAATTAATTTTTTATGATTTAATTAAAATTTGGACCGAATTATTGGACAGTTCTATCCACACGCGTCATGACGGCCGTGTTGGGCGTGTAGCGAGAGAGGGCTGTACGACAAAAGCGCGTCATCACGTTCATTAGGCGCGCGATGGTTTTTAGTCGGGTCAGCAGTCTAGTTCTTTACCACTAGACTAAGCCATCCCATAATATTTTCCTGAAACTTTAGCTATAAACTTGACAATGGTTTTTAGTCATGAAACTATTGTAAATAAAACATTTAAAGTACTGAAAAAATTCATAAAAACGTTTAATAACGAGCTTTTATGTAATAAGCACTAAAAAGTAGAAAATAAATTATACACTACTATTTAAATAACTATAAAAAAGCATGGGTCTCTTCCTAAATATTAGACACTACTATTTAAATTACTATAAAGAAAAGCGTGGGTCACTTTAGTATCTATTGGATACCTTTACTAATATTTAGGAAGAGACCCACGCTTTTTAAAATAGTTATTTAAATAGTAGTGTATAATTTATTTTCTACTTTTTAGTGCATTATTACATAAAAGCTTGTTATTAAAACGTTATAACTTAAGAAACTAAATTATATAAAGACAGAAAAGACCTAAGTAGGTCTTTGTGGAATCCATAGGTAACTCACTTCATCTTTGTATTAACTGCGGTGTGTCATTTTCCATGTTCCGCAACAAAAATTATCCATACAACACAACCTAACCAAACAACACAATTCAACTAGTAGAGTCTGTTTATTTCAAATTTTAAATTTTACTCTTTCTTAACTGCATAACTTCCAAATGTAAATAAAAATTCTTTTTGATTTATCTAATTTCAATGTGTACATTTTATGTGATTATTTTACAGGCAATTTTAATTGTATTTTATCTTTTGTATAGTCTACACCTAGAGCCACCCGTACCGATATTCAAAAGAAATAATAATTTATTTTTTATTATCGTTAGTTTTGATAAACTTATATTATTGTGTATCTTGTGGTGGTGGATCTTTTAAAATGATGTTCTGAATTAAACTGCTAAACAACTTCACTAACAGTAAAATAAATTGCCTGAGATCCATGCAATGTCACAACCTGTAACAAGATTCACTTGTCACGCCATTGTCACAACCAATAAACCACTAACAAGACAAGAAAGTTTCTTTAAAAAAACAAATTTAAAAATATATTATTATAACAAGCTACTAACTATTCTAAAAAAAAGTAACAAAACTTAAGTGCATATCTTCAAACTAATTTTTTATGAATTTTCAAATTGTGGGTCCATTAAAAACAATAGTTTTAATACCCCAAAATTCCCCAAAATTAAGTGTTTTGAACGGACACAAATGTTGAAAATTCATAAAAAATTAGTTTGAAGATATGCATTTTAAAATGTTATCTGAGTGCCCCAAAATATGGAAGAAGATTATGAATTAATTGTTTATTGGGCTTAAAATGTAATATTTTATGAATGGTGGAAAACCTACGAAGGGGTTAATTTTTCAAGATTGCCGCCGTTGTCATAGTTACCAAGATTTTTTCACCAATTTTGTTTTAGTGGAAAAGCATATGCTGATGTATCTTAATAAAGCTATAAAGAAATAACTGTTTTCTAACGAGTATTAAAACAGGTTTTTTTTACCGGAGCCTTCCCTCTTAAAGTATAGATTGTCTTAAACAATCACATTACCACCTTTGCTAAACAACCCAACCTGGTGTTTTAGAGAAAAGTTTTCGTCTAACTAAATAATAAGTAAAAACTAAACTGGGAGATATCAGTTTTTTAAATGTTTTTGTAATTTTACAATTATTTCTATCCATTGTGAAAAATAACGATTATACCTTGTAAACAAGAGAGGTAAAAAAAAACATCTATACAAGAAATTAACAAAATTTAAACACTATGTATTAAAGATCCAGCTACATTCATAACAAAGCTACAAACCTTTACTAGGAAGTAAGAAATGATCACTGACCATACAGAAATGATCACTGACCATACAGAATTGATCACTGACCATACAGAAATGACCTCATCCAGTACAAAAAAAGACCAAATAAAAAAAATTCTGGTAAAATCAAATAATGGAGTTTTCTTAAACGTAAAGCGAAACAAAATAAAATGCAATGCTTTGTGTTGTACAAACAATTACATGATAGCAACCATCAAGAATAGTTTAATAGCTTTAATGTCTCGACTTGATGTATTTTCTTTCATTGCTGCATTATAAATATATTTAATACAGCTGGATTTACAAATATTTTAATGTTAACAAAAAACGAGCAATGTTAAAGCCTAGGTTTCTCATAATTTTGTATTATTTCACCTCAAGCTAAATAACAAATCGACTTATCAATCAGAAAAAAAGGGGTTGAAAAATAAAGGAATTATAACAAGGGGAAGTAAATAAAAAAAACCCAAACATAATGTGTTCCAGTACCGAGCTACTCTCCTTAAGTAGAATAAAATTTTAAACATTTGTATCCACCCTCTAAATTCACTTTAAAAATATTGCAAATCCGTTACATAGTCAACATGTGATGCAAGTGAACATTGTGAATGTCTTAAGGTCAAAAAAGTCCAGTTTCTAGAGTTAGCACCAAACATTAATTGAAAGTAAACAAAAACAAATTACTTTTACTTTGTTTTTATTGATAAGATAAGCTAAGTCTATAACTGTTCTATGAAGTAAAAACATTTTTTTTTTTTTGTTTGAGAACATTGAAAGCAGATGGAACAGCTTTTATAAATGATAAATAGATACTATTGTTACATAAATCCTACTTACTCTGTTTGTATCAATATAACTACGAATAAAACTCACTCAGAATATTTCTCTACCCATTTTGAGGGCAACACCAACTATAGTCCCCGCGTTGTTTAATATACCGTCTGCTGCTGCCTAGTTTCAATTTTTAGGGACTAATGTGTTTGCGAATTCTTTATTTTTTCTCATTTTTTCTAATTAAAATGAAATAAAAATGATTTTTTTGTTTTTGCAATATTAAAGGATCTACGGGATTTGAAAAAAAAAGGATTAAAATTAACGTTCTAGTTTTCACAAAGACAACTTTTTGTCAAAGATGATTTAACTTGAACAACTAAAAACCGTTACAAAAACATCCAGGATAGCTACACAGTTGGCGAAGGTGAAATAACTTCTGAATTAAAACTTTTATACCGCTAAAATTATAAACGACTTGTTAGAATATTACAACATTTCAATTTGTTGGGTAAAGAATTTGTTAGAATTTTACAACAAAAAAACAACAACCCCCCCCCCCCACATAAAAACCATTTTTTCATCTTAGTGTCTTGGGTAAGTTAAATGTTAGACAATTAACAACATTTTAATTTCTTGAGTAAATGACTTGTTACAATATTAATTCATTTCAATTTGTTTGGTAAGTGACTTGCTTTTGTTATCAACCAACTTCTCGCAAAAAATATCCCCAAAGGCCTTTTTAAATTTAGCACTCATCGTGTAGAAGACGAAAATGTTGAAAGAGCTGCCAGCAGCTTCTGAAGAGACTACGACAGCCCAGAAGACAGAGTAGAAGTTCCTGTTGGAAGAGAAGATATAAAAGTTCGTGTTCAACAGCACCGTGTAGCCAATGGCAGGAATGGAGGTCGTTATGTAAATAAAGGAAATCAGAACCAACATTTTAATTAGTCTGTAGTCTCGTAAAGCTGATCCATCTTTTGCTGTCCCAGCAGACGTCTCGCTACGCCATTTTGATTTCATCTGCAATCGATGTATCATAATAATTGTAAAAATGATATCCAGGATAAAAAGGATAACTCTAGCAGAGACGTTCATCAGGTTGCTAAGATCTAGATTACACTCGGCGCTATGGGTTATGACGACGTTGTAGACTGTTGTGTTTCTAATGGTATCAAAGTACGGCAGAAACCTATGACAGACAGCGCCTTGAATCATAAAACACAACATGACCAAATAAATGCTTAGTAAAACTAAAACAGTTTTTGTCCTTGTAAAGAATAATTTCACTTTAAGTGGAAACAATATACAGAGGCATCTTTCAAAGTTGATGTACACTCGAATCCAAAATGAGCATCGTAGGAACATGATATGTGGCATACCTGTGCAGAATATGTGAAATAGGCATAAATTCAATAAATTTGAACTAAACACACCTTTAACACTAGCAGACGGTATGTAGATATTCATCTGATAGTAAAAACACGATACATAATTTAATCTATAAAAGCAAACTGAGGGAAGTTTGTTTGGTTTATTTTTTTGTTACTTAGACCTATAATGTCGGGTACTTGCAGGTAAGTTGAAGAAATATTGTTCTTGTCAAAGTTCGCTGTTCACTCTATTTTTAACGGTAAAATTAGAATCTTCTCAATAAACGAGTTTAAAGTGACCGAAAACTGGCCTAAACAAACAGCTCTTTTAAAAAATCATTAATTCCTGGTGTTTCAATGAAAATAAAATGTTGTTTAAAATAACTTTTTATGACCCTATTGATTAAAAAATAATCATCATTTATTCAATCTTACAAGCTCTTTACAAAACATTTTAAATCAGTCATCATATTGTATTTGGCATTATTGGAAAAGTTTATTTCTCATGTATTCGATAAGCGTATTTACAATAATCTCGAAAACACTTAAAGCTTACAATCGGCTTTACAAAATACGCTTTACAAATTACTTTTAAAAATAGAATAGAATCCAGTAGAAAAAAGAATTACGCACCAAGTGAATGCCAAAACAAAATGTGCATAATAGTGCGGAATATTATTAGTACTTTATAAATTTACATGCGTTTTGAAAAAACGGAAATGGCGTAAATTACTACTTCCGGTAAACGGAAATTATTCAAAATTTTTTAGATGGTAGAGAATTAGATCTTTTACTTACACGTGCAATTTCATTTATCTATCTTTAATAGTGCTCAAGTTATAGGCATTTGAAAAATTCAAAGTAGAAAAAATGTACCACTTTCGGTTATCGGAAATCGCTCAAAAGTTGATACGGATCTACGATTTTACAACACCTGTATTTCTACCTTAACTTTACCTGAAATTAAATGCACGAACAACGTATTGTCTGCTTTTTCCTTGATATCAAACAAGGGATTCGAACACACACTAGCCCAGACAAGAGGCAGCACGTTACCTAAATCAGCCAGACATAAAGCCAGGAAACTGATGGTTACTGTTTCTTTAAGACCCTGGAAACAGTTTTTGGAAATTAATTGCAATTTAGCCTGATAAAACAAATAGATAATTAATGTCTTGAAAAAATGACATCACTTAATAAGCCTGATAAAACAAATAGATAATTAATGTCTTGACAAAATGACGTCACCTAATTAGCCACTCGAGTGGGGAGAGAGACGTAAAGGTCGCTGGTGTGTACAGAGAAAACAATGAGGACGTCATTTTGTAACAATTGATGTAGGAATGTTGTGTTTGTATATGGGGTCGTCCAGTTATGGGGTCATCCAGTTATGGGGTCATCCAGTTGTGGGGTCATCCAGTTATGGGGTCAATCAGTTATGGGGTCATCTTGTTATGGGGTCATCCATGTTAGAGATACGAACATTAAATTATTTAGATCTACATATTAGACGTTTTTAAAATACTGTTACAACTCGGACCTACACATTGATGTTTTCAGGTTAAGCGGTTCTTGAGCTGTAGCGTGGAAGCTGTAGCGTGTAAGCTTAGCGTGTAAGCTGTAGCGTGTAAGCTGTAGCGTGTAAGTGCTTACATGTTAATTAAAAATCTCGGCGTCGGCACGAAACTTTTTTCGTCATCAACACCATGATGTTGTTGACCTTAGCTACTGATCTGTTTTACAAACACCATGATGTTTATGATGTTAGCCACTGACCTGTTTTATAAACACCATGATGTTTATGATGTTAGCCACTGACCTGTTTTATAAACACCATGATGTTTATGATGTTAGCCACTGACCTGTTTTATAAACACCATGATGTTTATGATGTTAGCCACTGACCTGTTTTATAAACACCATGATGTTTATGATGTTAGCCACTGACCTGTTTTATAAACACCATGATGTTTATGATGTTAGCCACTGAACCAAACAACCCCAGGAAACAAAGAATGACGACGATGAATATGACGTCACAGATTTTGCGTGCCTCATCGCTGACTAGGTCGTTGTGATTAGCCTCCATCGGGACCTGATGAAACAAGCCTCATTTCAGTTTGTTACTTTATGTTTTTAATGTCATTGTTTATGTTGGCAGTTAGAATAAGTTTGGGAGGCTATGATTATTTTATGAAAAAAAAAAACAACAACAACCAAAATACAAAACATGCCATGAGCTGCCTGAATAAAAACTGAAATTAAAATTTATTTCTTAGAATTGACCTCTTAGGAAACAGATCTTGGTGTAACTTGCTGTCATTTCAAATAAAAAAGACGTTCTTTAATGCTGTGTTTTCTGACGTAAATAACACGTTCAATAATCTACTACTCCTCGTTTTAAGATGTTTAGACATCATCTTTACATGGCAATATAATCGAATCTCATGAACGTTTGTTAATGGTGTTGAAAGAGTTTGCTAGTAGAAACAAAAAAGTTATCTTATTTATTTGATCTAAAATACGAGCAATGAAAACATACAGTCACGTATGAGTAACTTGAACCGGCCAACAGTTTTGCTACAGCTTACTATGGAGTGAGTGCCGACTTTGTAGTGTAAGTTTTAATGCCTAAAGCGAAAAAAATTTTTAAAAATTAACCCATTCGTTGTTACCTTTGTATGTTTGACGAAACCAAACATTTAAATATTATTAGACCATAATTTAAAAAATTAACTTGACGAATGAAGGAACAAAAAAGGATATCGACCTTGTCTTACTTCTATCCAGACCCAACTTAATTATGAGATAAATTTGTTTAAACTCAAGTTGTCTATTGTTCTACTCCTGACGACAAATTGCTTAGTATAATCTGTTTGAAACGGTAAAGTTATTTGGAATGACAAGAGAGATTATAGCAATCTGGGCGAGTCTGAAGCCCCAGGCGAGCACGAGTTATCTACTCCTTGTTAAATCGACGTTTTTGTTTCCCTTAAGAAACCGATCTATAGGCAAATTGTGGGAGCTCAATCAAAGGTATGGATCCATCTGACGTCATTGTGTCGGTGCCTTGATTGTCAGTCTTGTCGTCTGCTACCCAGTGAGTTGATAAGGGGCTTAGTGAGCTAATATGGACACAGCTGTTGTCTGGTATGTTGTGGACACAACAGTTGTCTTGTATGTTGTGGTGTGGACACAACAGTTGTCTGGTATATTGTGGACGGAAATCTTTTGTGTCTTAGACCTATCTTTTGTACTGCTATTTTAAAATCTCTTGCCTAAAATTTTTTAAGATGAACATTTTCTGCTGCCGTTCGCCTACCTCGTCTGTTTCCCACTGGCTCATTCTCCAACTCATCTATGGCCAGTTCTCATCCTGCAGTATTTCCTTAAACTGTGCAGCTCTCCAGCCGATTAATTAAATTTTAGGGTCAATGAAAATAGGTGCGATGAACTTGCTGGGAACGCAATGTTTCAATAATTTAATTTGGACATAAAAAAACTGTAATAACTAATATATATTTTGCAGTTATAGTTTAAAATTTGGTCGAAATTAAATCCGGTTCCAGTCAGTACAACTTTCAAGAGACTCACGTTAGGGTAAGTAATGGTTGCTGGGCATAGTACTGACCACACTGTCCATCCATATGCCGAGGTCACAGAAACAGATGAAATATACTTCACTAGCCCCATGAATCGTCACATTCTTTTTATAAGCTTTCATTTAGTTCGCAACGTCTGTCTGTGTGTTTGTTTGTTTATACAAGCTTCTATTTAGTTCGCTACGTCTGTTTGCTAGTTAGTTGTCTGAGGTTTTGTTGCAAATCTTGTAACGCTTATTTTGACACACTTTTAATGCAGCGATTTCTTACAAACTGTCCAGATACGTTCCACTTCGATGACAATACAAGTCTATTTAATATTTAATTTATTTAAATATTTAGTTAGAGATTAAAAGTAATTCATTGTTTCGAAACTAATGGGAAATAACAAAATTGTATTACTTGGTCCATTACAATATTGACTAACAGAAGGGGAGATAACTAGCTAGACGCTATCACCCAACAAGTCTTAACAGCTGTGGTTGACGCCGAATGTCATGGAGACATTAATTTTTGTCAATCTCAACAATGTATCACTACGAAACACATTAGTTTTAGATTTATGTGCAGAACAATAAACGATTTCATTAAGTAAGACCAGTGAAGAACCAGAGCGTTAAAGGAAAACAAAAACCATTATTGGACTTTTCTGTTAGAAAACGATTTTCGAATGTCACCGTTTTTCGATGTGCCACAGAAAATGTGTTTATTTGATCAACACAAGATTTTAAGCTTTGTTGAGGTTTGTACATAGGCTGTGTCTGTCTCTCCAGGGCTTGAATGAATTTTTGCATCAGTTTCCTGGCCCTAAGTCTGGCTGACCTAGGTAACGGCGTGCCCCTGGTCTGGTCCAGCGTGTGTTCGAATCTTTCCTTCGAGGTAAAGACTCAATCAGAGGACAGGTCGTTGGCACTAGCGACATCTGGTGAGTAGCACTAGCATGACTATCTTATTTCGTGATTAGAACCAGCTTAACTATCTTTTAATATTAGTTTAATAGAACATAACGGACCAAAGCCAAATTGTGTACACAATGCAATTAGAGTTCCATTTCCCTTTTGCTCTCAGTGTAAGTATTCGATAAGCAGTTTACAAAACACAATACAAAATTTTAAAAAAATACGACCATCCATAACATAAGGAACATCGACCAAAAACTTTCGACAGTCGTTTGCAACTCGTATATAAGATTTTATAAAAAGAAAAGTCTGGAATTATTTACATTAATGCAGTAAACATGAGATAAATAAAATATAAACAAACAGCAATATATAATCGTGAGTAAAAAACAAGCTTTCCAATCTGCCTAGGTGCACCTCACGCCATGTTTCTCAGATGTTCTTTCTGGATTCGAGTCTACATCAACATTGAAAGATGTCTGTGTATCATATTCCCACTCCAAGTCAAGTTGCTAGTCACCAAAAGAATAACTGCTCTAGTTCTACTTTTGATATACATGGTGATGTTCACTTTTCTGGTACAAGACGTGGCGTGCCACCCACTAGAGCCGTACTTTGACACGAGAAAAAACCTCACCGTCTTTGGTGTGACACTGACAAGCAGTGAAGCGTGCAATGTCAACCTGAGCAACCTGATGAATGTGTCCGCCAGAGTTATCCTCTACCTCCTGGATATTATCCTAACACTTATCATGATACAACACTTGCAGGTCAAATCAAAATGGTGCAGCGAGATTTTTGCAGGAAACACAAAACACGAGGCGACCTTGAGAGACGACAGACTAATTAAAATGCTGGTTTTCATTTCGTTTCTCTACATATTCACCTCACTCCCCGCCATATGCTACACAGTGCATAACGTCATGGAGTCCGTGCTCACTCTCACAAACTTAAGCCAACATTTTGTCTCCTTAACTTTTGCTTTCTCTGTCACTGTGGAATCAATAGGTAGCTCACTTCATCTTTGTATTAACTGCGGTGTGAGTGCCACGCTTAAGGTAGCTTTTGTTCAGATTTACTTCCAAAGAATTTACATAACCAAACTCAACCACACAACCCAACTCAACCATACAACAAAACACAATTAGCAAGGAGTAGATTCTTTTTACAACAAATTTTATTATATCACTCTTTCTTAAAACACACTATTTCCCAGTGTAAGTAATATGTAATTTAGTTGATTTAAAATAGATTCAATTTCAATATAGACATACTAGCTGCATACCTGTGCACCGCCACCGTGAATCTTTTTTAAATGTGCCAAATTGAGAACTGAACAAAACTAAACACAAATGCAAACACAAAAGAATACACAAACACAACACAAACACAACAGGAACACAAAAGAAAACACAAACACATCGCAAACACAAACGCTAAATAAAACAGAACACAAGCACAAAGCTAAAACAAACACAATCACAAAAGAAACCAAAACTGCAAACGCAAACACAAAAGCAAACACAAACTGAAAAGAGAACGCAAACACAATGCAAACTCAAAAGTAAAAAAACACAATCGAAAAAGCAATCACAAACGCTTACGCAAACGCAACACTTAGAGATCAACACAAAAGCAAACCTAAATGCAAACAACAACGCATTGCATAAACACAAACCTAAATGCAAACATAAACGCATAGTGCTCACAATCTAGCCCGGAGCTAATAATAACTCTAACCCATAGCGCTCACATGATAGCTCATCGCATAAAATCGAACCCCACCCGGTCGCCGGCGTACGCGTCTGATTCAATTTAGTGAACAACTACAAAAAAAAACCCAGCTTTTTCCGCAAACCGAAAGATAGAAGTAAATCTGGATAAAAATAAATGGTAGCTGCAGTCAGGTTAATTTCAATTAGTAATAAAACAGATATAACACTATCAATAAACATAGAGGACATTTAGGAGCGGCTTCTAAACTGTTATTTATTAAAATAATAAATAGTAAACAGTATGTTCAGTGTATAAAATACATAAAAAGAAGTATCTAAATTATCCGTGTATTACCTACCATATTGCATTTTATCAATCCATGCTAATTATATTATTCCTATAATAAAACCCTCATGTATGTCCTCGGATTTTGTATTCACATTTTTTAGCGTGATTTGAATTATTTTTAAAATTACTTGGCAAAATTATCAAATGTTTTAAGTAATTAAATGTTTTACCCTGCTGTCATTAAAATGTATCCATTTTTTCTAGGAATTTAATCAATAATCTTGTTTGACATACATATGTTTAATATGTTTTAGTAATGTGCGTGTATTCAATATTATCTTCACTTTATGCAAAAAATTAAAAACTGTGAAAACTATCAAATAAATTTAAGTCGTTATATAAACAAACCCTACTCACACGTTTACAATATTACTATTTAAAAGCACTGTATAGTTAAATTTTTACTTTTATTGTTCCAAAATCTATAGCGATGACCGAAGGACTGAAACAATACAACCAGTCTTATATAATAGATTATGTAATTTCTTTACAAGCAGCTGTCATTCTATTTTTTCTATTGTATTGTCTATACCTAGAGTCACCCGTACCAATATTCTAAAGTAATAAATTTTTATTCACGCCTGTTTTGAATAAACTTATATTATTGTACATCTTTTGGTGGTGGACCTTGAAAAATGATGTTCTGAAGTAAACTGCTAAGCAAGTTCACTAACAGTAAAATTCATTCCCGGACATAATTACAAGTAATCAGCTAATAACAAAATTTTTAGCCATTTCAACGTCACAACATTTAAGAAGATTTTCGTGTCACGTCACTGTCACAAACATTAAACCAGTAGCCACACAGGAAAGTTTCTTAAAATAAACCGGGAGTGATCTCCCCTAAACTTTCTCGAATATTCTTATATAGCTTGGAATATAGACATGATTTTTAATTACTTAAACTTTTAAAAATAGAGTAGAATCTCATAGAAAAAAGAATTGCGCACCAAGCGAACGGCAAAACAAAAGGTGCTTATTAGTGCGCAATATTATTAGTACTTTATACATTTAAATGCGTTTTTTGAGAAATCGGAAATAGCGTAAAGTAGTATTTTCGGTCAACGGAAATTACTCAAAATTTGACAGAAGGTAGAGAATTAGATCTTTTACTTACATGTAAAATTTCATTTATTTATCTTAAATAATACTCAAGTTATAGGCTTTTAAAAAATTCAAAGTAGAAAAAGTACCACTTTCGGTAATCGGAAATCGCTCAAAAGTTGATCAGGATCTACGATTTTGATAAAATACTAATATATGAAATTTCATCAACCTAGCTGTAACGGTACTCAAGTTATCTTGTTTACACACAGACAGACAGACACACAGACAGACACACAGACATACGGACAAGATTGCAAAATTATGTTTTTCCGTATCAGTGAGGTTTAAAGCGTCGAGATTTGTAAAAATCTCGATTTTCTTTTGGCACGATTACAAGACTTTCTATATACTTCGTATATACGAGAAAGTAAAAACAACTTAAAATATATTATTAAAGCAAGTTATTAAATAGTCTGAACAAGATAATGATAAGACTTGGATGTAACTAGAATCTCGGGTAGCTAATACCATCTGATAGCTCATGCTATCTGTTGGCTCATGCTATCTGTTGGCTCATGCTATCTGGTAGCTCATGCTATCTGTTGGCTCATGATATCTGATAGCTCATGCTATCTGTTGGCTCATGCTATCTGTTGGCTCATGCTATCTGATAGCTCATGCTATCTGTTGGCTCATGCTATCTGGTAGCTCATGCTATCTGTTGGCTCATGCTATCTGGTAGCTCATGCTATCTGTTGGCTCATGCTATCTGGTAGCTCATGCTATCTATTTTTGAACGGTTGCTGTTGTTACTGAAATGTTTATATGAGCCAGTTACACACTTTCCTATTTTCCCTATTCTAGACAGCCATCTTCAAAGTTTCTCGGCCTCATATGCTACAAGTTGTTTGGTCGTATACACCAGCCAGAAATGAGAAATGTGTTGTATTAAAACCATAACTCGCGTCAAACAAAAGTAAAACAAAGCGTGACTTGCAGCCAAAGAAAACTTAGTTTTAACTCCGTTACAAATGATCCGTCATTAAGCTTCGATTGTGCTGTGATTGTTCCAACGGTGACGTGGCGCTTTGGTCGATCAGCCCGCTGGATCCCCTGAAATTAATGTTCAGTCCACGAGTTCAACATCTACTTAGTACTTAAAGTATAGATTGTCTTAAACAATCACGTGACAACCTTTGCTAAACAACCCAACTTTATGTTTTAGAAAAAAAAATCTTTTGTCTAAGTAATGGGTAAAACTAAACAAGAAACTATTAATTCTTAAAATGTGCTTGTAATTTTACAATTATTTCTATCCATAATGAAATATAATCATTATCCTTCGTAAACATAACATAGTTTAAAAAAAACATCTATAAAAGAAATCAACAAAAAGATATGTAAAATAGTTCTAATTACATTCATAAAAATGAGCTCATCCCGTACCGAAGAGACCCAGGCACTAACAGCGATGACCACTGCAGGTAGCGAGGTCCATCTAGCCACACACGTGACCGTCACACCGAGGGAAGTTTCTGAGCTGGTCAGTGACGACATGCGGGTCATCTGTGATCTGGTCTTTATCGTCATCATCCAGGGTTTGCTGGCTCTGTTTGGTTCCGTCACCAACATCATCAATATCTTGGTGTTTGTGAAACAGGTCAGTGGCTGGCTTCAAAGACTGGGGGGGGGGGTCAGAATGACGGCTCTCTATAGAACTCCATGAATCAATTTAAGTTGTATTGTCTGACATCTTATTATGAGCATCAGTCTCAATCCATGTATTGGTAAAGGAAGATGTGACATCCTGTAACCTGGGTTGGTTGAGTGAAACATTAGTGAACTGCTAGTAGAGCAGCGCGGGTGGTGTTGCACGTACATCGTGTGTGTGTCGCATTGATCTTGATATTCCTTCAGCACACACCATTGCTAGATTTTTTTTATTAGGAAACATACTTTCAAAACTATACCCATGATTCACTTTATCTGAATCAAAGTCATTAGCGCGAACCACATGTGAATAGTAAATAAATAAATCATTAAAACAAACGTCTAAAATAGCAATTATTCGCGTGCTTTGATATTTCCCTCTGTCCACTTTCTAGGTTAGACACCAAAACAAACAAAAACGTCATTAACTGCTTCGGTTCCGTACCCATGCCACCTGAGTGTTTAGCTAACGGCTATCATGTTGGCTAGGAACTCTCATATCAATTGGTGAAAATTGTTTGTATTGTTCAGCTATCTCTCCATTATTAAAAATATAAAATCTTGTTTTAATTAAATTATATTCTAATTTAACCTATTTCAAAGTCACCTAATAGAATCGTCAGACATAGCGATTCTGCTAACACTGTTGACGTCAGACTTAGCGACTTGGTGCCCCTAAAACCCTGGGACCATGTCCACTTAATTTAACCTTGACGCCACTAGAACCACGGAGCCTTGTTCCCTTAATATTTCATGGGACCCCTAAAAATATTGGACCCTGTCTCATTAATTCCCCAAGAAGCCCCTAAAATATATAACTCTGTCCTCGTAATATCCCTTGGTGCCACTAAAATATACGCATTATTACCACATTAACAGCTAGTTGCAGGAAGCTACAAGGCATCATTAGTGACAAACAAACGTGTGGATTCTACAAAGCTGGTTATTACAACAGATTACAGGGTTGGTGATGATGAGTTTGTTTAGTCTAAGGCAACAAACTCGTAACATGAGTGGTAGTTAATAACAATTACTTTAGAGAAAAGAGCTTACTTTAAGTAACAATCAACAGGAAAAGACGATTTATATACGGCAAGCATATTGCTTAGCTATGCATTAGCCATTTGCTCTGAGAACTATTCTATTTATAATATACATATTTAATATTTCATTAGAAAAGACGCTAAAATTTGACGCCAAAAATGTTATTTATGTGATTGAATATGGTTAAAGAAAAAAGTTGAATTTTTGTAAACTTTATGGTCCCTATAAATCGGGCCCTGTGCTGCTGCCCATTCAGCCCCCCCCCCTTTTTAAAAAAAAAACGCCACTATTCCTCATTACAGTGTTTGTCTGCCAAGTCCAGACGATATTATTTCTTTCCCTGTAATAGAAACTAACACACTATTTACTTTCAGCGGACATGACACTAGCTGTAAAGTTGAACTTAAAATACATTTGTTTAATTAATAGATTTGTTTTGCAACTTCAACTAATATACTTGCAATTTTCAACTAATATAGTTTTGTGTTTAGTAGCTTCAAATGATAAAACAAACGGACAACACGAGTTGAGTTTCACAATTTTATTGTAAATAAGATATATATCATTTATTCCAATGTCCTAAGCCTGAAAACGAAAATGGCCATACAATGATTTATGATGCGTACATTAAAAAATATACATTATAAATTCAACACTTTGTTCTCACACTAAGGACTAGAGGAAACCTCCGCATCGATGCCAGATATTGTGTTGCTAATTATAAAATAAATGGCTTTAAAATCGTTTTTAGACTACAATAACATTTTTCCAGGGCCTGAAGGAGACAGTGACCATCAGTTTCCTGGCTTTATGTCTGGCTGATTTAGGTAACTTGCTGCCTCTTTTCTGGGCTAGCGTGTGTTCGAATCCCTTGTTTGATATCAAGGAAAAAGCAGACAATACGTTGTTTGTTCCTTTAACTTCAGGTAAGGTGAAGGTAGAAATACAGGTGTTGTTAACTTCTTGTTGGCTTATTTCAAAGTTTCCAAATAGTGTATGGTAGGCAGCTGCGTTTTTTATACATCCATAAAAGGTGTCACCCCTGTAAATGGTATCACACATAATGGTGTCACCCTACTAAATGGTGTCATCCCATCAACTGGTATCGCTCCTCTAATGGTGTGACTTCCCCACCTTCGTGAATCGCTACTGACGCTGGTTATTGTATTAGAAAAGTTGATGTGAGGTTCTAGTGGAGCAGTTAGTAAAACAAATGTGAAAAACCTTTATAGGAAAACGTTTTTAAATGCACTGAAATTAAAAAACCGCATCTGCTTTCTTTCATGAAAATGAGATCTTTGAATGAGATCTTTTACATTTTTAAGCGATTAAAGCTTTTATGAAAGAAAGCAGATTATTATTTTTTTTCTTATTTTCGGTGCATTTAAAAGCTTGTTGCTATAAAGTTTTTTTATATTAATTTTATTTTTAACTTTTTAGTGATTCATTTTCTCAATAAAAGCGGCCGTGCGTGACCATATTTTACAGACGACAGCAAGCTTTTAATCTTGCTACCTCTAACTTTCAAATCATTTAAATTTTTTATTTTACTGCCCTTATAGTTTTCACTAGATCGACCGGATCTAACTAATTAAAAAACTGAGTAACAAGATTTGCCACAAACCCACAGACAAATAAACAAACACACATACAGACTATCCGAATTATATAAAAGCTTGTGAAAATAAAATAGGAGTCAACTTGTCTACGTAGGACAACTCTTCGCAGTATGAGTCTGATTATAAATTGTGTCAAGTTTCGACTTTTCGGATTTTAAAATCTGTAGGTGATTGGAATCATTGCCACATTGGAGATTTATTGTATGATTGTGTGACACATGTTTGCAGTACAGTTAGAGGATTTATTGTAGGATTGTGTGACACATGTTTGCAGTACAGTTAGAGGATTTATTGTAGGATTGTGTGACACATGTTTGCAGTACAGTTAGAGGATTAATTGTAGGATTGTGTGACACATGTTTGCAGTACAGTTAGAGGATTTATTGTAGGATTGTGTGACACATGTTTGCAGTACAGTTAGAGGATTTATTGTAGGATTGTGTGACACATGTTTGCAGTAAAGTTAGAGGATTTATTGTAGGATTGTGTGACACATGTTTGCAGTAAAGTTAGAGGATTTATTGTAGGATTGTGTGACACATGTTTGCAGTAAAGTTAGAGGATTTTGTGTGACTGACTATGAACATAATTATTACAATAATGTAGCATAAAAATGATAATTGTCCACAATAACTAGATATTACAAGTGATAAGTAGAGCAAAGCATTGATAATTGAAATCACACTTTATAAAACATGACGACGTACTTAATGTTCAATAAGATCCTTACAAACTTTGGTCAAGTTTTGTGTCATATATCGCAGTACCAATAAAATCTCTTCAGGAGAAATGAAGAGTTAATTCTGAAATATAAATTTGCTAAAAATACACCTCTATTTTTAGGTGTGCCCCACATAACATTTCTCAGATGTTCCTCTTGGATCCGAGTCTACATCAACTTTGAAAGGTGTCTGTGTATCGTCTTTCCTCTGAGGGTCAAGGTAATGTTCACAAGAAGGAAAACTACTCTAGTTATCATATGCATTTACATAGTTATGGTGGCTTTCATGATTCAAGGCGCTGTTTGTTTCAAGTTTCTGCCGTACTTTGATACCACTAGAAACTCAACAGTCTACAAAGTTATCATAACACAGAGTAGCGAATGTAATCTAGATCTAAGCAACATGATGAACGTTACTGCTAGAGTTATTCTTTTTATCCTGGATATCATTTTTACAATTATCATGATACATCGGTTACTGCTTAAATCAAAATGGCGCAGCGAGAAGTCTACCGGGACAGCAAAAGATGGATCAGCTTTACGAGACTACAGACTAATTAAAATGTTGGTTCTGATTTCCTTTATTTACATAGCGACCTCCATCCCCGCGCTTGGCTACACGGTGCTGTTTAATGTCTTAGACTCCGTCATCAGCAACGTACGGATGTTTAGGAACTTCTACTCTGTCATCTGGGGAATAGTCGTGGCGTCTGAAGCTGTGGGTAGCTCCTTCAACTTCTTCGTCTTCTACTCCATGAGCGCTAGGTTTAAGAGGGCGTTTTGGGAGATTTTCTGTGTGAAGTTTGGAAGAGGTTATCTTTAGCTGTTTAAAAGAAACAACAAAATAAAAAATCTCTGAAATGTTAAATTAATACTATTTTAATTTGTTTTTTATCCGTCAAATTTGTGTGATACTTTATAAAGCAAAGACGTGAGTAGCCTACATTGCCTGATTTTGTTGCCGTGTTTGTGATAATTGTACACTGCAGTAAAATCACACACGCGGCAAACATAATGACAAACTATAACCTGTAGTGTGTCCCAAACATACAAACATACAAACATACAAACTAAAACCTAAAACTCGTGACGTCAGTCGTGTCTGAAGCCAGGTTGTTTCTGGACTTGAATTATGAACTTGTTCACGTGACCTTTCCATTTGCTTTAAAGAAAAAAAAAACGGTTGAAATTCGTAGCTTATCAAGAACAGCCAAATAGGCTTAATATAAAACTTCAGGTAAAGCAAATAATACAACCGTATGTCATGATAATCTCGGGTAATGTTCAAGCATCTCTTTATGCTGTTGCTAAATCCGAGTGTGAAATAATAAGAAAAGTGAAAGGGGAGATTGCTAACAGTTTATACCAGGTGTCTCTATGGAAAGGTATCCTAAAAAACCGTCATAGACAATTGAAAATCTAAAAAACATTTTTAGCTTGTCCAACAACGGGCTTATGCAGCTAGTTCCATCATTATCAATTATCGAATTAGAATGAAAACTTATATATTCATACATTGTCATTGTTTGACTAGGCAGTTGAAAATCGTTATATCATACATTGTCCTAATTAAGTTAAATAAAGCGGGAGCGATCTCCCCAAAACTTTCTCGAATATTCTTAAATAACACAAGCCGTCCCGGCCAGACCCTGCACTGGCCTCTGTAAAAACACCTATATGTAAAGGACCATGACATGTTTGTTTAGTAATCAGCATATACCAGGCATTACCCGGGTGTATGAAATATATTACTTTTCCAATTGACCCTAATTACAGCCAACCAAAACACACACACACAAAAGCAAACAAATACAAACGCATGCGACACCACTAACGCAAACACAAACCTAACCACAAATGCAAACCCCAACCCAAACACAAAGAAAAAAAACGCACACAAAATAACAAACGCAAACACAAATAGAAACACAAACGCAAAACATAAACGCAAATAATAATTTAAAATAATGCAAATTAACGCACACGTAAACACAAAGTGCTCACAGTCTAGCACGTGGCACCAAATCGCACCATGCTGAGGCACCGGCGGAACCGCCTGATTTAAATTAGTAAACGACTCTAGTACCCCAACGTATTCATAGCCTTTTGCACTTCCTTAAATGAACGTAGGCGCCATAGCGAACACGGGAAGGCCCGGGGCGTCAAATAGCATCCTATCGGGGCGCAGGAGGACGGCCGGATTCGATGATTCAGTTAAAGACTATAGTAAACTTTCTTATCCATTGTCTATCGCATTGTTTAAGATGAAATTATGCACCATAGCGCTCAAAGGATAGCACAGGGCACCTAATCGAATCCTGTCAGGGTGCCGGTGGATGCGCCCGATTGAAGTTGATGAACGACTATAATACGCCAAGCTTATCTGCAAACGGAAAGATAAAAGTAAACATAGAGGACATTAAGGAGCTGGCTTCTGAACTGATATTGATTAAAAACAACAATTAGTAAACAGTAAGCTCAGCGTATAAAATAAATAAAATGCAGTATTTAAAATATCTGTGTGTTACTTACAACATTTCACTTTATCAATCTACGCTAATTATACAATTTGTTTTTTCCAACACCAAAACAAAATAATAAAACGTAATTTTTCACCAGACGTAACGTTTTCTTTAAAAGGAAGTAATTGTGTTTTCCTAATTTATCAAGGGACGTAATGATTGCTAAGGGACTAAAAGTAAATAATTTTCGGACATAATTAAATTTTTTGTGAATGGTGATAATTTTTCTTTAATTTTGTTTACTGCATATGCCGTCAATTAACACTATAATTTTGGAAAATGAAATTTGTTTTAAAACAACTTCAATATTAATTTTTTTAAATTATTAATTTAGAAGAACGGCACTTTGGATATATCACACTATGGCGATCAAGTCTATTTTTTTTTTGGCTCTATTTCCCTGTAATCAAGGGTCCGGCCGCCCGTTGCCCGCCACATACAGAATTGAACTTTAAATTACTGGGGATGGCAACTCGGGATATAGACATGATTTGAAATCAATTTTTACATACTGAAACTTTTAAAAATAGAATAGAATCTCGTAGACAAAGGAATTGTGCACAACGTGAACAGCGAATAATGCGTGTATATTAGTGCGGAACATTAGTACTTTATAAATTCTTATGCTTTTTTTTTCCCACGTTTTCTTTAACTTGCTTTCTCTGTGTGTTTATTTGTTTGTCTTTCCAATCAAATCTTGCGATCGAAATTTCTGGCACTTCCCAGTTAGCTAGCGCGCTGAAATTTTCAGGGAAGCTTTCTTTTGGATGACCATTGAATATTCAATTGTTATTATTACTAAATTGATCAATGGAAACATTTTATTGAGCATTTTAGACCGCTATATAATCTATATATATAATTCTCCTCTGCTAGCCATTAGAAAAAAAACCAGCGACGCGTACCTCGCGCGCAGTGAAGCGAACGATCACATGTCGCCACAGGCTTAGGGGCAGAGAATTTAGCTTGAACCGAGTTTAAACTTACAGGAGGTAGGCCATTTTGGGGGAGACGATATGGTCGAGTGGTTGGGCACACGATTGCTATCCCACTCGACACGGGTTCAAATCTATGTGTTCTAGTCAGTAACGTATTCAAACAACGTGTTTTTTACGAGTTGTCTTTTTACGAGTTGTCTTTTTACGAGTTGCCTTTTTACGAGTTGTCTTCGTTTACCCAAAAAAAGTGAAAAGATAAAATCGATAGCAAGATTTTAATGCAAACAAACAGACAAAGACTAAAAAGTTGAAAATAATAATCATTAAAAAAGTTTTAAAAAACCCACGTTTTCTGATTGAACTAAAAAGTAGAAAATAAATGCTATAGGCCCTACATCACAATAATGCAAGCGATCACTCTACTATAAGCGAGCAAAAACGTGGGGCGCCGTGATTTTCTTACAGTTTCTAATACTGTTGACTCTCTACAAGCTCCCTAATAAAAGTCAATAGTATTATCTAATCAATAGTAATATAACTTTTACTTCGGCGCCCCACGTTTTTCATCGCTTATAGTAGAGTGATCGCTTGCATTATTGTGATGTAGGGCCTATAGCATTTATTTTCTACTTTTTAGTTCAATCAGAAAACGTGGGTTTTTTAAAACTTTTTTAATGATTATTATTTTTTGAGATAGCGGTAATATCGTAAACTACTACTTCTTGTGATTTGACCGCAACAGCTCTTTTGCTTATATGTGAAATTTCACCTATATATCAGAAATAGTGCCCAAGATATAGGCTTTTAAAAAACCGAAAGTAGAATAAATTTTAGTTCCGGTTAACCGGAAATCGATGGAAAGTGGATACAAAAAAATACAAATTTGATCAACCTAGTTGTAACGGTACTCAAGTTATTGTGTTCACATGCACACAGATACATAGAAACACAGACACACAGACACATATATACTGACACAGGAACATGCAGACAAGACTGCAAAATTAGGTTTTTCCGAGAATTCTAAAATGTCGAGATTTGTGAAAATCTCGATTTCGATTTTTTGCACGATTACAATACTCTCTCTATACAAGAAAGTAAAAGTGGACATACATCCACGCATTTAACTGGCTTGCAATCCGTTATTTTTTCACATATATTTTTATATGTTTATCTAACAGCTACTCTAAATGATGTATGATGATGTCATCTTATGTTTATGTTGCCTAAAAGCTTACATTATATTTGAGATACATTTGAGGATGCCGCAACATATTAGCTTAGAAAAAAAAACTGGAGCAATGCTTGACATTGAACTGTTACAACCTAGCAATTATGTTTTAAAATTACCATCATTAAGCTGCGATTAGAGTAGTGGCGTAGTAGTTATAGAGGGTGACGTGGCGCTTTGTATTGATCAGCTGGCTGCGTCCTTGGGATTAGGGGTACCTCCTACCAGTTACACCAAACTACTAAATACTACTTTAATTATTAACTTAGTTGTAAATAATCACTTGGCTAAACAAGATCATTCGTAATAATTTTTTATTTATTACAAAAAGTACATTTTAATTTTGAAAATTAAAATAAAACACACATTAATCATAATCATTTTAAATGAATTTACAATTATTTCTATCTACCATGAATTATGATAAATTTTTCTTAGAAGATGGAATGAAATTGCAATTATAACCTCGTGTATTATTTCAAAATTTCTTTTAAAAAACAAAATTAAAAACTATAAACTACATCTGGGTACATTTAAATACAATACGTATTTTAATAAAGTCAGCTTTTTTTAAACGAACTGACCAGCTCACATACTGAGATGACCACCATACGTAATGAGGTGACCACTTCGGGTCCGAGGGTCCTAATAGACCCGCGACAAAGAGCATATTCTGAGCTAGTTACTGACGAAACACGAGTCGTCTGCGAGATTGTGTTTGTTGTCATCATTCAAGGGTTTCTGGGTGTCTTTGGTTCCCTCACCAACATCATCAACATCATGGTGTTTATAAAACAGGTCAGTGGTTTAGGTCATCAACATCATGGTGACCATATAAAATTTCAATAAAGCTAGCAACATCATTGTGTTGATGACGAAAAAAGTCGTCCGAAAAGTTTGACTTTCGTGGTCGTGAATAAAACAAAAATGTGAGTTTAGTGTGGACGCCGAGACGCTTAATTGAACATAAAGCACTTACACGCTACACCTTACATGCTACAGAACACGAACCGTTTAACCTGAAAACAACAATTTGTAGGCCCGAGTTAAAACAGTAGTTTAAAAAAAGTTTAATATGTAGATCTAATAAATTTTTTGTTCGTATCTCTAAAATGGATGACCTCATAACTGTATGACCTCATAACTGGATGACCCCATAACTGAATGACCCCATAACTGGACGACCCCATATACAAACACAACAATCCTACATCAATTGTTACAAAATGACGTCAGCGTTGTCTTCACTGTACACACCAGCACCTTTACGTCTCTCTCCTTACTCGTGTGGCTAATTAGGTGACGTCATTTTGTCAAGACATTAATTATGTATTTGTTTTATCAGGTTAATTAGGTGACGTCATTTTTTCAAGACATTAATTATCTATTTGTTTTATCTGTCTAAATTGCAATTAATTTTCCAAAAACTATTTCTAGGGCCTGAAGGAGACAGTGACCATCAGTTTCCTGGCTTTATGTCTGGCTGATTTAGGTAACGTGCTGCCTCTTGTCTGGGCTAGTGTGTGTTCGAATCCCTTGTTTGATATCAAGGAAAAATCAGACAATACGTTGTTCGTGCATTTAACTTCAGGTAAGGTGAAGGTAGGAATACAGGTGTTGTATTTTGTATTTTTAACTTCAGGTAAAGGTAGAATTACGCGAGGTGAGGTGGATTTGTTATGATTATGACAAAACTTAGTGAATTTAATTGGACACAAGCATTGTATATAGCTATGTTTACACGTATATAGTTTTAAATTCTAACACTTAATATTGTGTTTTATTACCATCGGATTGTGTCTAGTCAAATGGATTGTAATGTTGTTTTTTTCTGGTGATGAAGTTATTTATAACACTTTATAAAGACGGAGGTAAAATAAACATGAAGTTAATTCAAAGATGACTTATAATTAAGTAGAGATATAGATATATGAAAATAACACGGAGCAACATATCATTATTGACCTAACACAGAATTGATGAAAACTTACAACTTTGAAGTTATATATCTGTAAATCATTTTCTAACAAGTTCAGGTCGAACTTTCTAAATGTTTCGATTCCAAAATTGTAGGTAACTTTATTACTTCAGTGCTTTCAGAATTAAAATCTAATCATACTTTATAAAAAGCAATCAAAATATTTTGATCTTCTACAGGAGTACCCCATAACATGTTCCTACGATGCTCACTGTGGATCCGAGTGTACATCAACTTTGAAAGATGCCTTTGTATTTTGTTTCCGCTTCATGTGAAATTCCTCTTTACAAAGACAAAAACTGTTTTCATTTTACTGAGCATTTGTTTGTTTAATTTGTATTTTATGATTCAAGGCGCTGTCTGTCACAAGTTTCTGCCGTACTTTGATACCACTAGAAACTCAACAGTCTACAACGTCATTATAACTCAGAGCGCCGAGTGCGATTTATTTGTAAGTGGCAGGATAAATGTCGCTGCTAAATTTATCCTTTTTATCCTGGACATAATGTTCACAATTTTCATGATACACCGCCTTCTGGTGAAATCAAAATGGCGCAGCGAGACGTCTGCTGGGACAGCAAAAGATGGATCAGCTTTACGAGACTACAGACTAATGAAAATGCTGGCTTTTATTTCCTTTATTTACATATCGACCTCGATCCCTGCCATTGGCTACACGATACTGTTTATTTTTCTGGACTCTGTCATAAATCTTTCGATGATCTCCAGAAACTTCTACTCCGTCATCCTGGGCGTCGTCGTGTCATCTGAAGCTGTCTGTAGTTCCTTCAACGTTTTCCTCTTCTACTCCATGAGCGCCAGGTTTAAGAAGGCATTCTGGGAGATTTTTTGAAAGAAGTTTCGAAGAGATAATCTCTAGATGTTTAAATAAAAACAATAAAATAAGCAATCTTCGCAACGATGAATGTTGTTTGAAATTTTTTATTATCTGCAACAGACGTAAGCCTGTCGCTTTAGGAAACAACACAATGTCTACAGTACGCATGACCAAACATTACCGAATGTAGGGAGGGGATTGGTTGCTCCTTAGGGGTCAAATCTGACACAATTCTGGTATTTATTGTGGGGGGGGGGGGGGGGATGGTAAGGTCAGCAGCATTTGACACCATTTACGGGGCGACGGAAAATCAAAACACCGAAACATCAAGTGTCAAACCAATGTTTTATCCACCTCAAAATTACACATACAGAGAATAGAGGAAGTAGTGTAATTGTGCTAATTAAAAGTTATTTTGACAGGAATACATAAGGGATATAAAAATTGTATTCGTGCAAAAATCAAAATCAAAATGTGAAAAAAATAACGTTTTATAACGTTCGGGATTCGGAATCTTTGTTTTGTTTTGCTATCTCTTCTCTGTGTGTGACGTGTATATGTGTGTGTGTGTGTGTAAACTCGATAACAAGAGTACCGTTTGAGTTAATTTGACTAAATTTCATATATAAGTAATACTAGACCACCCGTTATCCTTTGGATAACTTTGAGTGCAAGGGCCATTCACAAATGACGATACGCTTGATTGACTCCCTCTACCCACTGTCACACAGACTCCACATCACACTTCAGCCAACATATTTTGTCTTGTAAAATATCGATTTTGACTGCACATGGTGCTTACCACCCTATCCTTTCATATGCTGGGGTCACAAAAACAGGTAAACTTTACTTCACCTACCCGTGTTTCGGTAAGCCAGAAAGGCCCGAAAGGCAACTTTATCATTCCCATCTTGAAAGAATCACACATCAGCTTACACATGTTTACCTTTTAAAATCGTCGATTTCTCCCTAAAATATTTTCTGAGCTCGAACCTCATATTAATAAAAAATGAATAAATTATTAAAGCTAACGTCAATATAATAACAAACGATTCTGACCAATTGCTTGCATTGAGATTTCCTAATGTGCACTTACTATAGGGGGGGGGGGGGGGGGGAGAGGGTACTATTATTGCATAACTTTTGTCCCCATGACACTTGACATGTCAGCGCGCTATCTTCTCGGCCACAAACTCAAACAACATGTAGTGAAAATATTTCATATTATTTCAAACTCTCCGTAAAAAATCTGGAGGTAGGCCACTTAACCATAAAATAAAATGACGCCAAATATTTATTTTAGCTACATTAAATCCGAGCTTAATCTATCCCATTGCTAAGAAACAAAGATTTATATGAAATATTTAATTCCTGAAATAGTTTAGTAAAAACATTCATTGTGTTTTTACAAACTTTTATTTAATTTGCTTTCTCTGTCTTTCGACAGTCTGTCTGTCTAGATCGAAACGCTCGATAAAAAGAAAAGCGTGGGTCTCTTCCAATAGATAATAGAGTGGCCCACGCTTTTTATAGTTATTTAAATAATAGTGTATTATCATTTTTTTTAAAATATTTATTTTCTACTTTTTCGAGCATTGTTACATAAAAGATGGTTATTAAAACGTTTTTTTTTTCACTTTTTTCAATATTTTTTTAATGTTTTTAACTAATTAATTTTTATTTGACCTACATTAAGGGATCTGTTGACAATTTGTAACATACTAGAAATAGTAAAAAGATATATCATCTAGCTATCTATCTACATACTACTAAAACTCAAGTTTGTTTACATGTTTGAATATTTTTTTTCTTTGTTTGTCTGATTGGCTACTGGATAGAATCTGCACTATGTGTAGAGCTGTAAAATAGTACGTAGGTAGAGAAAATTTTTTGTTTTCAGACAGACTGTTAAACACAAATTTATTTAAAGACATTAATTAATTAATTGATTTATTCATTGGTAGCTTAACCACATTAATTATAAAAGTTTAAAAGAATGGCTTTACTTTGACTGAATAGTGACGTCACATAATTTGTTTACTTTTTAGAACAATAAATGGCGGCTTCTATCCAAGATTTCGTTGCTGATTCAGATCTTTAACGCGTTCTTAAGCTAATTTTCTGTCGGCTCTAACTTTAACAATACGTCCGTTTGCAATTTTTTTTATTGCGTTTCAACACTATTATCAATGTTTTAACAGTTCTTTTTATTTTATTATACAATACCTTTCTCTAGATCTACAGATCAGCTGTCGAAGGAAGAAAAAGTTATGAATCTAGATCTAGATCTAAATCTAGGTCACTAGACTTAACTTAAATTCTAGATCTAGACTTAATGTAAATTCTACATCTAGAATCTATTTCAGGCCTTAATTATTTTATATAAATCTTTGTTTAGCTTCAATGATCATCTAATTCGAGAATGCATGGGATTTGGGCCTATATATCTAGGTTCTAGATCTAGATATAGTAGGGTTACTCGCTAACTTGGAGGCGTGGTCGGTTGCTAACAACAATATCGCCTCCGGACCGGACGTATGACTTCCGACCATTTTTAGGCCATGTTTACCACGAGCAAAATGGCGGGTTTTCACGTTATATACACATGCAATAGGTGGCCAGGGCTAGATATGCCAGAAAAGCATTTTAAAATTTGTTTTGGAGAATGGAGGCTACATTTTAAAGTCGGTGTCATTAAAATTAATAGACCTTTTAAAAGGTCGCCTGTGACGTCAGTATATGAAGGAATAGTGTGGTCAGACCCATGCTCAGCCGAAATCGGTGTTTTTAAAAGATAAAAAACGTCTTTTTGAAATGGGGGTCTGGTTATTTTGTGATGATAAGTGACAGACGTGATGTTTTTTTATGGATGACCCCCCAAAACCCGCAGTTATCCAATTGATGACGGGTAAGTCTAGTATACTACTAAAACTCAAGTTTGTTTAAATGTTTGAATATTTATTTGTTTTTTTGTTTGTTTGTTTGTCTGTTTAGCTACATGAGAGAATCTGTACTATGAGTAAAGCTGTAAAGTAGTATGTAGATAGAGAAAAAATTTCTTTTTCAGACAGGCAGTTAATCACAAATTAATTTAAAGACGTTAATTAATATACTGATTTATTCATTGGTAGATTAACCACATTAATTATAAAAGTTCAGAACATTGACTTTACTTAGAGTGAATAGTGACGTCACATGATTTATTTACTTTTTAAAACAACAATGGCGGTTTCATCGAAGATTTTGGTGCCGAGTTAAAACTATAGTGCATTATATAGCTAATTTTCTGACGACTGTAGCCTTAACCATGCGTCCGTTTGCTATTTTTATTAGGTTTCAACACTATAATCAGCTTTTTAACAGTTCTTTTTATTTTAGTAGGTCTTCACAATACTTTCCTCTAGATCTACAGATCAGCTGTCGAATGAAGAAAAAGTTATGAATCTATCTAGATCTGGTCACTAGACTTAACTTAAATTCTACATCTAGAATCTATTTCAGGCCTTAATTATTTTATATAAATCTTTGTTTAGCTTCAATGATCATCTAATTCCAGAATGTATAGGATTTATCTATCTAGGTTCTAGATCTAGAGTCTAGATCTAGATCTAGAGTTACGGCAAAAACTAGAATCTAGACTCAACCTAAATTCTACATCTAGAATCTAGAACTAGAATCTATATACTAAACTATTTCAGGCCTTAATAATTTTATTAAAAATCTTTTTTTTTTGTTTAGCTATAGAATTGGCTAATTTGGGGTATAAGCCCTAATTAAACTTAAAATAATAATATAGGACCTATTCGCGTAACTGGTTTCTTACTTTGCAGTACATTATAGGACTAATTCTACATTGGTTATCCAGTACCCATATAGCTAAGATGGTAGTGTAATGGCTACCATGCGGGTGGTACCGGTACGAGACATATCACGACAAAGTTAATTTTGTTTTTAATTATTTTTTAAAACGTGAATGATCAAGTTGCCTATCGGGACCTCGCGGGACACAGGGCAGGTCAAGTTGAGTTCACCTTTTTATAATGTCCTAATTTCTCACCCAATTATACCCCTATTGTTTACATTGTTTGTGCAATTCTTTTCTATTCTTTAAAAAAAAATTCTAAAGGAAAAAATTAATAAAAAAAACCATTTCAATAGCCCGATTGTGGTCTTTCATAGTGTTATATAAGAATATACGAGAAAGTTTAGGATCACATCTACACAAATTTCACATTCTACCCCACACAGATATCATATGTAACACTGTACTCAGACTAGCTGTAAGGTGCTAACACTGTACTTACACTAGATAAAAAGTGCTAACACTGTATTCAGATCTAGACTAGCTTTGGCTTCAGTACTGTCGTAGTATCGTCATAGTCGTTTTAGCTATAGGAAACTCTGCATTGTTGTTATCTCGGTAAAGATCAGGATATTTATAGCATTATATCCCTTCTAAACATTGTCAAATTTGTCACTTTAAATTCCATGTAGCTATCATGAAATGCCAAGCGTCATGATCACACTATGGATCTGGGTTTTTATACAGTTGTGATCTTTATAGGGATCAGACCAACGTTTGAACTCCATGTGAGTGTCTTATATTAGAACAAGCGAACATTTGTATCACCGCTAAATAGTTGTAGAAAAAGTCTAGAAGATTTTCTCATTATTGATAAAACTGTTACTATAAACTGTTAAGGTCTACGTTTACCGTCAAAATTACAGTCATTAACTTCTATTTAAACTCAATGGTTTAGGAATATAATAAAAAAATCAGGGTTTGTTTTAAATTAAACCCTGCGCGAACAATTTAGTTTGAATGATATCAGGGTAACAAAATTACATACACGGTAAAATTATTCAATTGAAGACAACTATTTCAAAAAATGGTAGATAATTACATTTTGTTTAAAACAGCCGTAACCATACACTTAACAAAATGCCAAGATAAACACAAATAATTAAAACATAATGGGGAATCGAAATGATTGTCGACAACTATTTTCTACATA